CACGGCTTCCTTGGTGTGGGCTTTCTGAGAGCACAGGCTCTTCCTCCAACATCCCAGAAGAAACGGACGATGTAGACAATTCTAGCCTCGATGCCTCCTCCTCCTTGAGGACAGCAACCTGGTCTGGGGTTTCTGCTTCGCCTGCCCCCACAGAGGACGGAGAAGGCAGGATGCAGGCCAGCGGGGGAATGCAGGCTGACTCCTCCTCTGAGGCCTGTACCAGTCCAGAGCCTCCCCAGGATGGTAAGTGTGTGGGGATCTGAATGTTTATACACATTTATATATCCCTGACTCAGCCCATCATTTATTCCTTCCATTGCCCTTATTCACACATTCATTTGGTTATTCAGCCGTTCACCTACCATCCGACTGTAGACTCTCTCCAGCCCCGCTAGGTCGTCCAACACTGAGTCCTAGCCACTGATCTAAATATCTCTCGGGTCCATCTGCTTCTTTACTTTGCACCCATCCCCCTAACTCATCTAAGCTACTGTCCTCTTGCTAGATGACTGCATGCCTTCCCTTCTCCTCCCTAATCCAGTCTGGCCCCTCACCAGTCCTTCTTCCAGGAGCCAACCAGAGTGGCTTTTAAAAACAACTCATGTCACTCCTTGTTGAAGCCATTGTGTAGCTCCCCATTGCACTTAGGGACCAAGTCGAAACTCTTCCTCCAGACCAGCAAGGTCCTGTGTGGTTTGTCCCTGTCCACTTCTCCATCCTCGCTTCATAATATGAACCCATCCTCGCCAGCTGCTTCTGACGATACCTTCTATTTAAATATAGGAGGCTTCCTTCTGAAATTAAGTTTGGAAAGCCTCTTCAATGCCTTGTCCCCGAGTAAACACAGCTCAGTGAATGTCCCAGGCTCTGACCATGCCTATTGCTCCTCCTCCCTTGTGGAAGAGAGAGGAAGAGAGAGGGTGTAAGTGCTCACTCCACCCCCACTCTCTTCCCTCGTGGGGAGGAGCATGAGAGCCCCTCTTCTCTTCTGCAAAGGCAGAAATGATGAAAACGCTCATTACACTCAGATTCAGAAACCTGATTTAAGTGAGAAACTGTGACCAAGTCTGGCTTTCTAAAAATTAGAATAGTAGTACCTATTTCCAAATGCGTGTTGTTCAAGTGGCTTTAAAAAAAAAACTTTCTATTGAACATCAACTACAGAGACTTCGTGGAAAATCGAGATCAACGAGGCCAAAAGGAAGCTGATGGAGAATATCCTGCTCTACAAAGAGGAGAAGCTGGACAGCATCGTGCTTTTTGGCCCCTGATCACCAGAACACAGCTGAGGACCTTGTCCTCTATTGGAAAGACAACTGTCAAATCAAGAAAAAGATTTGGGGCAAAATCCAAGGTCTCCCAGGAACTACAAACCAAATATCAGCCTACCTGGGGGAAAGGGAAACTTCCAATTTCCAGAGTAAGTGTAGGGAGAAGGGACCTCAGCTTTTAGAGAAAGCAAAATCCATGAAGTCCTCTTCCGTTCTGGGATTTGTTAGTCAGAGCTGGGTATCATCAGGAGATGGAAGCGGAAACCCTGGTACATGGGCCCAGGATGTGGGCAGGTTCGTGGTTCAGGGGAGGATGTGACATTAAGCGCCCCAGCAGATGCCGTTACCCTGTTCTCATTCCTCAACAACTGACAGAGCGTTCTGAATGCTGACGGCACTTTCCAAAGTTAAAATCTCTGGGTCATATTTGCCAACAACCGCCTGCAAACCTCTGTGACCTGAAAGATTTTCACCTTGGGTCCCAATGCAGTTCTTGACGCACGTCTCAAGGTCTCAAGTTTTACAAAGGCCAGACACCTGGCAAAGGGCTCTGTAGGCTTTCTGCTTTCTTTTTTGGAAATCTTGCAACCCACATATATTTATTTAATGTCTGACTACACCTTTATCCTCCCATCCCACTAATGCTAATATTTCTGATGGAGCTTTTATTTTGAGAATATATGTTATTTATAGCTGGATGAAAAATCAGAAGAACTGGTTTCATTCTGATTCTGCTGCTAATTAAGTTAATCATGTAATTTCTGGAACCTCAGTGTCCTTGTAAGTAATACCTGTTCATTCTCCCTCCTTGGGCTGTTGGGAAGAATAGGTGAGACATAGCTATAGAAGTACTTTGAAAATGCACTTGTCCTGTTTTATAAAATAAAGAAATAAAAAGACATTAAACATCTGTTTCTGCCATGTACCTAATGTTTATGCAGTGGGTATATTACTGAAAAGTCATGTTGCAGAGTTTTTGGTGAAACAAATGTTCTTTTATATTCAGTGTGCCCTATTTGAAATAGTCCTACTATAGTGATATTTTCCCTTTTATTTTTATAAAATAAATATACATTGATAAAGTCAACCTGTATCTTGTCATTAGTTTTGTGTCCAGATGAATGTGTTTGGAGAAGTCGCTCTGTATCCATGAGCCGGGATATGATGGGATAGCTAAGAGATTGTGTGCTTGCTGTAAATGCTGGCTGTTAATAGCTGTGTCATCTTGGGCTAAGTTAAGACATTACTTTGAGCCTCTGTTTCATCTATACCATGGGGAGAATAAAAAGTACTTGTTTCATAATTTTATTGTGAGAGCAAGGGTCAGATTCTGGCTGGTGTAAAGCATTCAACAGCCCCCAGCAATGTCAGCTTTGTACTGATACGTAAAAAGCCAGGTGGGCTCCAGCCCAGGTGGACAGTGATCTGTACTGACACCCCGTCTTAAGCTCCGGTGGCATGTGGAAAGCGCCTTTAATTATGAGCAGGGTATTTACAGGGCTCTCTGAGCAATAGAGGGCAGATGCTAATAGGGTACTGGTTATCCAGACATACTTGCACTTCTAGACTCGGGCTTCATATATTTCTGGAGAGATTCATTGAGAATCTGATTAAAGCTGCAGAACTCCCTTCAACAAGCTGTAAAGACATACACATACATGATTAATTATGTGTATTAATCATGTGTATTAATTCCAGGGGTTCTTGGGCACCACAGTGCCTTTCCACGAATCCCCAGAGGGTTGAATGGCCCGACGTTTTAAAGATGAATATGAGCGAAAAATCCAACCAGTACAAAAGGTCACCTGATGGAAAGGAAGCCATTTAACCATTGGAACTTAGGTTCTCCTTTCTTCTCCCCAAAGGCAAACACTGTTACTAATTTATTACTAGTTCCAGAGATGATTAGAAAAAAGCTTTCTATCTAATTGGTGGACTTCATTAGTCATTGTGTGTGTTATGTGCTGCTGAGTTGGCTCTGACTCCTGGCAATTCTATGAATGAGTGAATTCACAATCCTGTGCTCAACAGCCCTGCCAGTTCTTGTAGACTCGTGTCTGTGGCTCCTTTAATGGAGTTAATCCATCTCATATTTGGCTTTTTTCTCTTCCTGCTGCCTTCTACTTTTCTCAGCATTTTTGTCTTTTCCAAGGAACCCTGGCTTCTCAGGGGTAGTCCAGGGTATTCGTAGAGCTTTCCTCCAACATCATATTCAAATTAACTCTTTTGTTTTCTTTCCTATTAGCCTTCTTCTTTGTCCAACTTTTGCATCCATACATGCTAATTGAAAATACGAGGGTGTGGATGACCTTAGATTTGGTTTCTAATGACACTTCTTAGCTCTGGGTGACCTTTCCTAAGTCTTCCATTCCTGACCTTTTGATCTTGGCTGCAGTCTCCATTTAATTGATGACTGAACTAAGGTAAGCATTTGTCATTAGGGAAATGTAAATAAAAAACACAATGAGATACCACGTCACACCTAGGATGGCCATAATAAAAAAGACAGGCAATAAAGTGTTGATAAGAATGTGGAGAAATACCCATCCAGCGTGGCTCAGTGGTTGAGTGTCTACCTATGAACCAGGAGGTCATAGTTTGGTTCCTGGTTAGGACACATGCCTGGTTGCGGTAGGGAGTGTGTAGGAGGCAGCCAATCAATGATCTTTCTCTCTCATCAATGTTTCTATCTCCTGCTCTCTCTGAAATCGATAAAAACGTTTAAAATTTTAAAAAATGATAAAAAGAAAGAATGTGCAGGAATTAGAACCCTCATGCTTTGGTGGTGAAATTGTAAAATGGTGAGCTGCTTCCCCTCACATTCTCAGCTGCAAAATGTTAAATATACTAGTAGTTTCCATATGACCCAGCAATTCCACTGGTAGATAGCTACCTAAAAGAAATGAAAACATATGTCCATACAAAAGCTTGTGCACCAGTGTTCACAGCAATATTCAGAATGGCAGAAAGTAGAAACAACCTAAATGTTCATCAACAGATGAATGGATAAACAGAATGTGCTATATCCATGCATTGGAAGATTATTAATAAAAAATTTTTTAATTAAAAATTATCCATAAAAAAGAATGAAGTACTGATACATGCTACAACATGGATGAACCTTGAAATGATTTTGCTAAGTAAAATATATGATTGCATTTTTATGAACTGTCCAGAACAGGCAAATCTACAGAGACAGAAACTAGGAGTGGGGGTAGGGGAGATTGAGAGGGGAAGTAGTAATGGTCACAAGATTTGGGGGTAATGAAACTGTTCTAAAAGTAGATTATAGTTACGGTGATGGTTGCACAACTCTAAATATACTAAAAAAATATGTTAAAAACCCATCAAACTATATATAGGTGTATTTTATGGTATATAAATTATATCTCAATAAAGTTAGAAACACACAAATACACAAATGTCAATCTTAGGCATTAAAATAAATATCTTGCCCTAATTAGTTTGGCTCAGTGGATAGAGCATCGGCCTGCGGACTGAAAGGTCCCAGTTTCGATTCTGGTCAAGGGCATGTACCTTGGCTATTCTTTCTCAACAGTACATTTGGGTCACTTCACTCTTTTTGTCTGATAGTCCATTGCATGGATAGTCTGCACTTTATATAACTAGCTTTGCATTTTGCAAACTGAGATTGTTTTCATTCTTGCACTACAAATACTGATGCCTTCGTGCCAACTTACATGTCCTTCAGTGACATATGGGATAGCATTTCCCCACATTCTCAGTTGCAAAGAATCTTTTCATGCTTTTAAAACATATATATATTTAAAAATATATATATATATATATTTATTGACTTGAGAGAGCAAGAGAGAGACAGAGACGTCAATTTGTTGTTCCACTTATTCATGCGTTCACTGGTTGATTCTTGTATGTGACCTGACTGGGGACTGAATACACAGCCTTGGTGTATCCAGACGATACTCTAACCAGCCAGGGCAACATTTATGCTTTTTAATCACTGCCAACCTAATGGGTGAAAACAATTTTATTTGTATTTTTGACTGAAGTAAAGCCATTTAAAAAATATTTTGTTAGGCTTTCGTAATTTATGTTCATTCCTTTGTCCATTTTAATACGAATTCTCTTATTGCTATAGTTTTTACATGATAAGGCCATCAGACCTTTGTCATATGTTTCAACTATTTTTCTTGTCTTTCGACTTCGGTATTTTTTGCCAAGCGGGTATTTTACATTTGCGTGTATTCTCTGTTTCCCTCCTTGGCTTCTAATTTCTAATTCTGCTTCTCTCTGGGTGGGTCACTTGGTCTCTCTGAGCCAGTTTCCTGCGCTGTATATGGACGGGGTGATGATGCTGATGATGCCGGTTTGATGAGCATGTGCGGATCTGAGCGCGTGGGGCTGAGGGGTTCACGCCAAGCAGCGGGGAGCGGCTCTTCGGAATCCCGGTCCGCGGCCGCCCCCTACCTCCTTAGCGGGCGGCCACAGGAAGTGCGCGGCCTTGGCTTCAACTTCGCGCTCCTCCGACCCACGTGAGTGGCTCCGCCTCACCTCGCTTCCGACCAATGGACGAGTTTCATAAGGCGTAGGGTCCCGCCTTCCAGCCTCCTGGCCAACAGGCGAGCTCCGTCTTGCTCAGAGTCCTGCCCCT